CAGCGCGACGAACTCCAGCTCCTCCATGGGGGGCGCGCCCCCCTCCTCTTCCTCCTCACGCGGCTCTGCAGCCCCGCGGCGCCCGAGCCAGCGGGTGGTGGACCAGCTCCGCGCTGACCCGCGGGCGACGGGCACGGCGGCGCCCGCCGCGAGGCCCAGCGCGTCAACGCCGCGGCGGCCGCTGCAAAACCGGGGGAGCGCCAGCAGCAAGCACGCCACGACTGGCGCCCAGCGGCCAGCGTTAGCCCGCGCCACCGGGCGCCAGGCCATCGCCGCGCCGCCGCGCGGGCGCCTGTGCGGACCACGCGGCGCCATCGCTGCCGCGCGTCTCCTGGGCCCCAGGGGGCCCGAGACCCTGGCCTCGGGCCACCTGAGGCCGACCCCAGCTTGACCCAGAACGGTTCGAGCCCCCGAAAGGGGAGAGGAGGGGGGGGGGAAGGACGAGCAAGCACCAGCAGGAACAAGGAGACGGAAGCTTAGCCGATCTGGGGGCGTGGTGAGCCATACATCCAATCAAACACCCTAGCCCGGGGCCCCGGCAACCCTGGAATCCAGGCCCCCGGGGGCGCGGGGCCCTTCGCGGCGCGTTTGCCCCGTCGTTCCGGGGGGGGGCCCGCTCGAGGGCTCGCCCGGCAGCCGGTTTGTCGGCTGGTGCCCCCCGCGCGGCCCGCCTGTCCAGGGGGGCCCCGCGCCCGGGAAACGCGCCGGGGGCCTCTGGCATCGGATTCCCCCAGCGCGCCCTGGGGGACAGTGCAGCAACAGTTCCAGCATTCGCCAGGCGAAGTCACACTTGCGGCAACCAAAAACGAGCCCAACTGTAGCAACCCAAAACCAGGGCAGCTGCAGCAACCAAAGACGAGGCCAAGTGCAGTAATTTGTTCGAAGCCACGAGCCAGATCATTACTGTAGCACATGAGTTTGAACGAAACTGCGAAAAGAGGGCCCAAGTGAAATGACCCACCCACCGCGCGAGCCATTCGAAATCGTGTCGGTCACCGCGAAGTTTTCATTGTTGTGTCCAGCACGTCTTGGCGACTTTCCTACCGTGGACATTTCGGAACTCGCCGGGCGCGCGCGCGCGGCGGGCGACCCGCCCGCCGCGCGGGTCACCCGAAATCCGGTCGGTCACCGCTTGGGCTTCCAAGCCAGCACGGTGACGCGCCGACCGTGGACATTACAAAACTCATCACGCGCACACGCGCAAGGTTTTTCTGTATGGATCACGCAATGGAATCGTGCACCAGAATCCATGTTCATTTCAACCTCACTTCCGTCACCGCTAAAAGTTCACTTGAATTTCCCGGCCAACATAGCGACTTTCCGATTTTGGACAATACAGAACTCGGTACGAGCTCGCGCACGTGCGGCGGGTGACCTGCCCAACCCGCGGGTCACCCGAAATCTTGTCGGCTATCGTTAAGCGTTCAAATTAGTTCCCATACCAACAAGGCCACTATTCCGTTGTGCACACTGCAGAACTCCGCGCGCGCGGGAAGCCCTATAGTGTCGATCGTGGGATGTTTACGCTCAAACCAATGTTATCTTGGAGGTCAAATCGGTCAACGTTCAACCTTTGAGAACAGCCGCAAGCCTTGACAGGCCTCGACGCTGCTTAAGGCCTGCCAAGGGTTACCAAGGCATGACAAGGGCTACCAGCCCTTGCCAAGGTCTTGCCATGCGTTGTTTCTGAGACAAAGTCAGCACAATTAAACAAAAACCAAGACAAGGAACCGTGAACCACAACATTCAAGACATCTCAAGAGAAAACAAGCCGAACGAACGTCAGGAACAATTCGTGATTCACGGGGGTTCGGGTCTGCTGGATTGGCGGCTGGTTTGCCATCGGCGAGCGAGCGACAACTAAAAGAGGCTCGGCCGATGCGCTCGCCGCTCCCAGTCCAGGAGATGCGCGCTGGAATACTAGCAGCCGTTTTTTAGCAAGCCTCCGATAACACGCAGCCGAGTCCCCAAAATACAATTGTAGTGTTTTTGTGTCCGGCCGCGGGGAACAGGGGCGGGCGCGCCAGGCGCGAATCTGGCCCATGTCAAAGTAACGCTCTCGTTAGAACAGGAGCAAAGTCAAGAAAAAGAAAACCTTCCAACGGACACCGCCATTGGGGTATTAGGTGGACCGCCCTATGGGGCCACGAAGCGTTGTGTTGGGTGATGGAGGCGCATGTGGATACCACCAGTGGGGGACCTCATTATGGGGCCACGAAAAACAGTGTTGGGTGGGGGGACGCATGTGGACACCGCCATTGGGGCTTTCGGCTGAGCTCCCTATGGGGCCACGAAACGCAGTGCTGGGTGAGGGAGACGCATGTGGACACCGCCACTGGGGCCGTAGGTGGAACTCTCCATGGGGCCACGCAGCGCTGTGTTGGGTGGGAGGACGCATGTGGACACCGTCACTGGTGCCTTAGGTGGAGCTCCCTATGGGGCCACTAAACGTTGTGTTGTGTAGGGGAGACGCATGTGGGCACCGCCACTGGGGCCTTAAGTGGAGCCCCCCATGCGGCCACGAAGCGCTGTGTTGAGTGGGGGAGACGCATGTGGATACCGCCACTGTGGCCGTAGTTGGAGCTCCCCCTAGGGCCACGAAGCGCTGTGCAGGGTCGGAGAGACGCACGTGGGCACCGCCGCTGGGGCCTAGGTGTAGCTCCTTATGAGGCCACGAAACGTTGTGCTGGGCGGGGAGGACGCATGTGGACACCGCCACTGGGCGCTTAGGTGGAGCTCCCTGTGGGGCCACGAAACGCAGTACTGGGTGATGGTGATGATGACGACGAGGACTTGCACAGGGCAGAGGCAGGGACGGGAGGAGGGATGATGGGGGAGAAGGAGGAGAGGAGGAACGCGGGGATTGTCTTTTCAGAACGAGGACCCAACACCACAGGACGGTTGGAAAAAATAGCTTGGCGAAAGACCCAACCAAATGCAGTTGCGAGTACCGCAAGTATGAATATCTTCTTCGGCGGCGTTCCCTATAGGGCCACGACTTGTTGCACTGGGTGGGGGGGTACGCATGCGGGCGGTAACGCTGGAACCTTCGGTGGGGCCCCCTATGGGGCCACGAAACGCTGTACCGGGTTGGGGGGACGCATACGGGCATCCCCACTAGTGCCTTCGGTGGAGCTCCCTATGGGGCCACGAAACGCTGTATTGAGTGGGGGGCGCATGCGGGCACCCCCTATTGAATTTCGGTGGAGCTCCCTCTGGGGCCACGAGACGCTGTACTGGGTGGTGGAGACGCATGCGGGCACCCCCAATGGGGACTTCGGTGGAGCTCCCTCTGGGGCCACGAAACGCTGTATTGGGTGGGGGGAGACGCATGCGGGCACCCTCACTGGGGCCTTCGGTGGAGCTCCTTCTGGGGCCACGAAACGCTGTATTGGGTGGGAGGGGCGCATGCGGGCGCCCTCACTGGGGCCTTTGGTGGAGCTCCCTATGGGGCCACGAAACGCTGTGCTGGGGGGGGACGCATGCGGGCACCCCACCCCCATTAGGGCTCTCGGTGGAGCTCCTTACGTGGCCACGGAACGGCGAAAGTGAGGGGAGTAACGGGAGGAGGGAGGAGGGGGGGGGAAGGCGGCGGAGGAGACGAGAGGAGAGGAACGCGGGGACCGTTTCTTCAAAACGAGGACCCAACACCGCAGGATGGTTGGAAAAAAGAGAGTTGAACGCGGGCGACGGCGAGCAGCAACCGCACCACGCGGTGGCGCGCATGGGTGGACAGCGCAAGCAGACCATCGGTGGTGGACAGGCGCGTGTGTGGCCAACGCGCACTGCGAACGCAACCAGTAAAAGAGCAACCCCACCGCAGTCAAAGCCACAAGGGTTACCATTGGTAGGTGGAGCCGAAACGACAGATAGACAACCACCGAAACACGATAGAGAGTGTACACATCAAGGTCGCACCACTCCGACCAAAGGCGACAAAGTAAGGGAAAAAATGCGAAGCGAACCCACCACAGGGGTACGCCAACGAAAATGCGGGCGTTCAAGCTGACAGACAGCTGAAACAAACAAGATGCGAATTGCAGCACCAGGTGCGGATGCACACACTCACACTCACAAACACACACGAAACCGAAAAATGCACAGGGAAATGGACGTCCGAGCGATGGCAAGACAACCTCGGGCACGCACGTGACGTCGGGCACAGAGTCCTCCACGCGGCGGCAGGTGGCCCTCGAGCGCGCTGCCATTCGCCATGGTGAGCGACGCGTGTTTCGAGCGCGTTTGGACCGCAGGCGGAAGCCACTTGACGGGCCCGGGGTCGCGGACTGGACCGCCATCTCCTAACGCCATCTTCCGGCACGGGTGGGGCGAACCCTGTCCAGCGCTGGGGGACCGCCGTCTTTCCATGGGCGATGCTCCATCTCGAGCCCATCAGGAGCAGGAGCCAGAACGTCACCTGTCTCACTGGCAGTACTTCACCTCAACCATGTTGCCACACACACACACAAGAAGGTAAGGAAGCGGGCCACCCTGTTCGAGATCTCTCAGAGGGAGGATTAGTCCTCACGCCCGTTGTGGCGGGGGAGGAGGTATGCAGGAGGAGGTGGAAAAGGGAAAGATGGAAGAGTAGACGGAGGAGGAGAGTGACGAGGACGCGGAGGAGGAGAGGAAGGGCTCTCCTCCCCTCGTGCGGAGGAGAGGAGGAGAGAAGATCAGGACGAGCAGGATAAGGCGACGGGGCGACCAGGAAGAGCACGCGACGAGAGGAGGTTGCCGAGGGGTGGCCTTTCGACATACTCTGACAGCCGACATCTTGATGTTTTCGGCGTGGCTCCCCTGAGGTCTCGACCCTATCCCTAAGACCGGCTTTTCATCCAGATTCGTTTTCTGACGGCAGGGCTTGGCACGGGCCCTTGGAAACCGCGAACGGCCGAAAACATCCCGTCGTCCCTTGTGTTCGCGACGCGAGGAAGCAGCCAGAACAGCCTCACGGCCTCAACTCGCCCACCCCCCTGGACGGGCCGGCCGGCCAGCGAAAGGCGACCACCGACTCGCTGCGCGAGAGGCTGGGCGACCTGGGTGCCCAGTTGGAGGACGGCGGGTGGGATCGGCCTTCCTGGGGGAGGAGGAGGAGGAGCGAGGAGGAGCGAGGAGGTCGTTTTCACCGACATGGCGGTCTCGTCGGAGGTCAGTGTGTGGAGAGCGAGGGGCGGAGAGGAGCAAGGAAGAGGAGAGAAGAACGAGGAGCGAAAGAGAGGAGCGAGGAGGATGAGGAGGAGGAGGAGAATCGAAGAGGATGGGGAGGATGCACGAGGAGAACGACAAGGAGGAGGGGGAGGAAAAAGATGGAGGAGGAGGAGGTGGAGGACGAAGAAGAGGAGGAACATGCCGCTTCACAAGCCTTGAGGAGGTGCTGGAGCTCTCCGCAGATTTCAGGAGTGTGATGAGGGAAGAAGGGAGGGAGGGAGGGAGGGAGGGAGGGAGGAAAGAAGGGAGGGACGGTGGCGCAAGGGGTGGGCTGAGGGGAGCGGGAGCTTTGGTGGGATGTAGACCGACACTCCCCCGCCCATCCTCCCTCCTTCGAAGGCGGAGAAGAGGAACGGAGCGGGACGGCAACGACGAGGCAGAGACCGGGTCCAGAAATATGGCCTGAGGCGAGAGCGCCATCCCGAACGCCGGGGGCAAAACACCGATCCGGAAAGGTGGCCAGCGTTGCAGCGAGGACGCTCCTGTCGCAACAGCATACGGCTGGACCGAGGTATCAGATTGAGGTCGGCTCGGGGAAGGTACCCTAATGTGTTTCGTGTTTGTTGCGTGTCCTTGTGCAGACAGGGGAGGGAAGTGCCCTCGAGTGTTCTTCGGTTTGGCCGGCAGAGGGTCTCATGTTCTTGAAGGATGTTATTATGTCTCCGGCCCAGCCATATAAAACATCAACCTTTCAAATCTTGCGTTGGGAGGATAGAAGTCGGCCACGAGCAGAGGGGGGTAGGAGGAGGGAGTGAGGCTTCTTAGAAGCACCCCTGCTTCTTAGAAGGCGTGGCCCTAGATGTAAGGCCAGCGTATTCTAAGTGGCAGGCTCCTTCTAAGAAGCCCCCATCACCCTACCCCAGCTGCGCGCCGCCAGAGAAGGCACTCTGAAGTCCCCTGTGTGTGTGACAGTAAGAGCGCACGCGGAGAGGCGGCAGCGCGCGGGCGCACTGTCGAACCGGGGTGGACGGGCTCTGCAGAGTGGGAGAGGCAAGGCAGGCGGGGAGGGAAAAAAACGCAGGTCTGTGGACTGTGGGCAAAAGAACACGGGCGCGTGTTTGTCCCCGGTGTGCGCCCTCCCCTCCCCTCCTCCCGGCCCGCGGCCGCTTTTGCCTGTCTTTTCCTTCTCCTGCCGCCGGTCAAGTTGCGCTTACCGTTGCCCGGACCGCCTGAGCGCGCGTGCGGATTGGCCCTGCCGCGCCGCTACGTAAAGAAATGTGGTTCCACAGTGTGTGTTTTCTTTTCACAGAGCTGGGCACAGAGATGGCGACAGAGACTGGAGCGAAGACGGGGGGAGGCCACGCGTCATGAAGGTTCCAGCTGACCTCCGCTCCCTGAGCGGTCCACGGGTCCGCCTGTGTCAGGCAAGGGCGAGGGAGAGAGGGAGAGGAGGCGAGGCGGAGGGGAGGGCAGAGGGGAGCAGGGAGGAGACGGAGAAGAGGAGTGAGAGCAGTGAACGCGGGGGGAGGAGGGAGAGGGACAGAGAGACATAGGAATTAGAGGAAAAAAAGCGAGAGGGCGGCGAAGGATCTCCTCACCCTCGCCCTCTCATCCTCCTCCGCCGCCTTCTTCCCTGGGAGTCGTCGTTCATTTCCTCATCCCCTTCTCTTCCGTTTCCTCTTCTTCCCCGCTCTTCCTTTCATTGGCCAGTTGTCTTGCTTCCCTCCTCCTCTCCTTCTCCACATCCCCCATCAGCACCTCCTCCTCCTCCTCCTCGCCCTCCTCCTCCTCCTCATCCTCCTCCTCCTCTTCCCGCCCCCACTGGATCTTAGCATGGACAGCCTCCGAAACCTTGTTTGGTAGACTTGTGACCTCACTGTCCTCATTCCTCCCTCATACAGTCGAGCATATTAGGAAGAAACCTCCTCCCGAAAAGCTGGACCAGCGATGTTCGACCAAATTGCCAGCAAGCCGGCTAAGTTTCATGAGCACGTCCGTCCCTCCATTGTGAACAGCAGACACTGGCGCAGGCTTGGTTTTAGAAATGGTGGGCATTTGGCCCTGATTTCTTAGCTGACAGTTGGTTGTCTTGATCAGGTTCTCGACTGTACTCCTCTGCCCCATCCTCCTTCGCCGCCCCCGCCCCCCGCCTCCGAGGAGCTCGAGGCTCGCGAGGCAGAGAGCCTCCAGAAGGCGTCGGAGGCTGGTGCCCTTCCTGTCCCGTAGTGGGGCAAAATGCTGGCCACGCGCGTCAAAACGAGTTTATGAACCGAACTGGAGGAGGAGGAGGAGGAGGAGGAGGAGGAGGAGGAAGAAGAGAAGGAGGGGGAGGAGGAGGGCCGCTTGCGGGAACTCTATCCCCCGCACTCGCCCCTTGGGCGCCGCGCCTGGCCGCGCGCGCGCCCTCTGCGGGGCTGACCTCAGCGCCCAAGCCACGATCGGCGGCGCGCGTACCACGAGAAGGTGAGCATTCGGGAAAGGGTGATCACCCACCTGTGGGTAAACATCCGGGACAGGGTGATAACTCAGCAGCTGTTGGAGTACAAGCCGGGCGTCTACAACAGCAGCCAAAGGTTACGAGACCGACCCACCTCGGCGGAGACCTACTGGCAAGTACGCCGAGACCATACATGCATAGAGGAGTACGAACATATGCAGGTTTCAAGAGACTGGGCTACCTCGTCCGACACGGGCGACAACCACACCCCAACGACACCATGACCATCTCTACGACCGCCTGGATAATGGCGTCCACTACAGGACGGGACGCGCTGCGCAACATGCAGCCAGAGGACGAGCTGCGTAATAGGCGGCCCAAGTACGAGAGCCACCTCCAGCACAACACCTAGCACACCACCAAGATCGACGGCAAGGACGACAGCAAGAACGGTGGCTTGAACCCAACCGCAGCCAACTTCCGGCCGAGCCCGACCACGACCGCCCCCCCAGGCGAGAAAGGACAGCACTGGGGCGATGTGGAGTTTCTTATCTCAGGTACTGGAGCCAGCGCGACCAGCTACAGAGGCCCCCAGAGCAGATACGACTACCCGTCTTGTGACGAGCACAAGGATTGCGATTTCTACCAGAACTGCCAGGACTACGACTCCCTGCGCAACGACGCCGCCGGGGACCATTGGTACAAGTCCAGGAAGGTTCAGGAGGCCCAGAAGGCAGAGGAGGCTCAGGAGGACCGTAAGGCTGAGGAGACAACGACAGAGCTACAAGGGCCACCAGCAGAGATACAAGGACTACTTGGCGAACTTCCAAGGCAACGCGCCTCGAGAGCTTCACCAGCTCAGCTACGGGGACCACAAACTGCGTTACGAGGGCCGCGCGCAGAGCTACGAGGGCCACCAGCTGGACTACCAGGGCCACCTTCCGAGCAACGAGAACCACCAGCTCAGCAACGAGGATCACCTGCTGAATTGCGAGGCCACCCGCTGAGCTACCAGCACCCCCAGCTCAGCTACGAGAGCTGGACTACGAGGGCCAGCTGAGTTTCGAGTTCCGCAAGGTGGGCTACGAGGACCACCAGCTGAACTACGATGGCCACTAGCGGAGCAACGGAGACAGCAAGCTGAGCTGCGTGGAATACGTGCAGAGCAACGAGGGCCTCCAGCAGAGCTACCAGCGCCACCAGCTGAACTAGAAGGTCCACGAGCGGAGCCTCGAGAGCCCCCAACAAGCTACGAGAGCCACCCGCTGATCTACAGGGGGAACAAGCCGAGCTACGAGTGCCGCGATCAAGACGCCGAGAGCCAGCAGCTGAGCTAGGGGGGACATACGCTGAGCTACGATGGCCGCGCGCAGAGCTACGACAGCCACCAGATGAGGTACCGTGATCACCGTTGAGATAGGTAGCTACGGGCGGGGTCAGCGGGACTACCAGCGCCACAAGCTGAGCGTCGAGGTCGGCAAGCCGAGCTACGAGGACCACAGGCCGGGCTACGAGGACCACCAGCTGGACTACAAGGGCCACTACTGGAGCTACGGAGACCAAAAGCTGAGTTGCGTGGAACACGTGCAGAGCAACGAGGGCCTCCAGCAGAGCTACCAGCGCCATCAGCTGAACTGGAAGCTTCACGAGCAGAGCCTCGAGAGCTCCCAACAAGCTACGAGAGCCACCCGCTGATCTACAGGGGCAACAAGCCGAGCTACGAGTGTCGCGATCAAGACGCCGAGGGCCAGCAGCTGAGCCAGGGGGACACACGCTGAGCTACGATGGCCACGCGCAGAGCTACGACAGCCACCAGAGGAGGCACCGTGACCACCCGTTGAGATAGGTAGCTACGGGCGGGGTCAGCGGGGCTACCAGCGCCACCTGCTGAGCTTCCAGAGCCACCTGCAGGGCTGCGAGGGCCACAAGCTGAGCTTCGAGGTCGGCAAGCCGAGCTACGAGGACCACCAGCCGGACTACGAGGGCCAGAAGCAAGGCTACAAAGGCCACGTACGCGGGAGACGAGCTTCGCAGCAAGGGCCTCCAGCAGAGCTATCAGCGCCACCAGCTGAACTACAAGGTTCACTGGCGGAGCCTGGAAAGCCCAAGACACAACTGCGAGGACCACCAGCCAAACTACGGGGGCCAAATGCCGAGCTACGACGGCCGCGAGCAGAACTCCACCGGCTGAGTTACGAGGGCCACCAGAGGAGGACGAGGAGAGCGCCGAGCAGGACTAGCTCGTCTTCATCATGTACACCGCGGTGGAAGGGCTGGATTTCTTGGCCATGATCGCCAAGAGTGAGGCAATCACGGAAGCCTTCGCTACCAGGACCATTTCCAGATTCACGAACCCCGCGTACAACAAGCGCCACGAAACGATGGTGCCCAGAGACATGTGCGCTGGCCGCCACTACGAGGACGGGGACGCGATGGTCCGCGTGCTGGGCCCTTCAGGAGCCATCAAAGCGCTCTTGTCCGCCCGCGACAACAACAAGGCGCACCAGACCCAGATACCTGTGGGCCAGCGACCCATGCCTATCCCCGCCGCAGAACTTCTACGACGACGGGAGGAAGACAAGTGCGACGACGAGATCATAGAGAGCGACGCGGAGCACGAGGACAGTAGCGAGAAGAACAACACCTACTCAACCGAAGGCAGGTATACCGCTGAATACTACGACCAAGCAAGCGACGACGCTGGGGAGTCGTGGCGACACTGGCCTGCCTGAGAGTGGAGATTTCGAGGTACTACAGCAACAGGCAAGGATCTATATCTAGAGGGATACCTATATACATAGATGCACTTCCTACATAAGAGATTACGCCTACCCATGTAGCGGTGTAGGCAATACATAGACACCGCGTACATTACCAAGAAGTTATTCCGTGCACTACGCGACTGGCAAGATACTGCGTCTACGGCACGCACCGCATCCAGGGTTGAGTGGCCCCGCCTCTCCACCCATTTCCCCTCTTCCTCCGAAGCTGCAGGTGGTATTCGCGAGTGTGGGCGGCCTTCCCGCTCTTCCTCCCCACCCTCCAGAAGGGGCGGGCCCGCCCTGGCCCTGGCCGTGCCCGCGCGCGTCGGGCGCGGGACGCGCCTTGTGGGTGACGCGATCAGCGGTTGCGGAGAGAGAGGGAGAGAGGGAGAGAGGAGGAGGAGGAGGAGGAGGAGGAGGAGGAGGAGGAGGAGGAGGGAGAGGAGAAGGAGGAGGAGGAGGAAGAGGAGGAGCAGGAGGAGGAGGGGCGCATCGCCCACTCATCGCCGATGGGGCCCCCATCGCCCGGGAACGCGCGGAATCGTTACCAGGGGCGTATCGTCCATGTATCGGCGACGAATCGCCGATTTCAATGTTATGTTTCCCCCTTGAGCCGGTCCCCTCGAACGTTTCTTCTCAAGGAAGGGGAGGACGGCTCAGTTCGGTCGTCCTCAAGTACGCGAGTCGAGCTCAAATTTGCCAACCGAGTGGCACGCCCCATGGTCGCGCAGGTCATGGAAGGCCCCACGAGGGCCCCAGCGTAAACATAAGACCCCGTCGACACCCTGCGGTTCTGGCGTATCACGGGCTGGTCTTTCCTCTGAACTATGCCCTGGCGCCCGAGCATGCTGGAACTTGAGCGCACGCGATGAATATAACTGTATGCATGTGTGATCCTCCCAGCGAGTGGCACTTCTTGCTCAGGCCCAGCGCTTCGGCTTGACAGTGTGATAGCATAACGAAAGAAAGCTGTCTTAGAGGCGCGCGCGGGTAGGTAGGGCTTACGGGGCCAGTGGGCCGGGGGACAATCAAACTTTGTCCAGGCTTGCAGTCTACGATAGGTTCGTGTCGTGTCGACGCGGTGGCGACCCCGTCGCGGGCGTTCAAGGTTGAACGCCACTGGGGCCAACGATTTGCGGTACTCGAAAACCGCGGTTGTTGAAGGTTAATCACGCGGTGTCAGAAGCCAACTCACAAGTCGTCATGACACGAACCCGCCACGTCAAGGATCGTAAAGATATTGAGGGGGAGCAACTGGAACGCGGCTGGGCCTGACGTTACGATCGCTTCCGCCTGCCCTGGCGGTGGCCGCGACTGCTCCCAGGCTCTAGAGGCTCCCCCCACCGGGGCCAGGGAGGGGGCACAGCCTGAGGCCGAGGCGGAGATAGCCTCACTCGCGGCGGAGGTGAAGGAGACCAGGAAGGCCGCCAGGCGGGCTGCCAAGGGCAGCAAGAAGAGGCAGTCGCGCTGGCTGCGCCTGCGCTGAGGGGCCGCCGCCCCTGCCCGCCGTTGGGCGGCACGGCGCGGCCGGGAGCACACAGCAGGCCGCGAATGCTTGAGCTGCTAGGGTGCTTCCGGGCAGGTTCGAGCAGCGCGCGCAGATGTGATGCGATCGCTTCGTTTGTGCCGCCGCATCTGCCTTTGCGCCCTGGCCCGCCCCCGGATGTTCTGGTAACGAGCTTCAGTTTCACGGCTCGCGGGTGCTCTGCATCAGGCGTACGTAGTGCTTGGCTGCAGGATTGTTTCAATGATGGCCTCTTTAGCAAAAGCTCGCTACGCATCCATGCGCACGTCGCGCGAGATTGCGTGTACATATCGAGCTAGTTCCGATTGACAGGGTTCCGACACGCTATACACTGCTTCCTCGCTCCGAAATTCAGCACCCCTCACACATCTTCATGTTGTTCCCAACCATCCTGTGGTGTTGGGTCCTCGCTTTGGAGCAACAGCGCCCCGCGTCCACTCCTCCCGCTGCCCCCTCCCTGCCTCTTCCTCTTGCCCCTGCCCTCCGCACCCATTTCAGCACGCCATCACACGATTCGCGGCCAAATAGAGAGCTCCACCGAAGGCCCCAGCGCCAGTGTTCGCATGCGTCCCCCGCATCCATTTCGGCACACCCATCACACAAGCATCGTGGCCCCATAGGGAGCTCCACCTAAGGCGCCAGTGGCAGTGCTCACATTTGTTCCCCGCGCCCATTTCGGCACACCCCTCACACGTTTCGCGGCCCCATAGGGAGCTCCACCAAAGGCCCCAGTGGCAGTGCACACATGTGCCCCCCGCGGCCATCTCAGCACACCCTTCACACGTTTCGCAACCCCATGGGGAGCTCCACCATCGGCCCCAGTGGAAGTGCTCACATGCGCCCCCTGCATCCAAGTGAGCACGCACCTCCCACGCTTCGTGGCCCCATAAGGAGCTCCACCGAAGGCGCCAGTGGCAGTGCTCACGTGCGTCTCCCCGTCCATTTCGGCACACCCCTCATACCCCTGTCGTAGAAATCGGATTTCCAAGGGGGAGTTTCACGGTATTTCAGGAGCCACCGATGCGGTAATGTTCGAACGTTTCGGGGAAACTTCCGATCCGATTCCGTAATTATGTTCAGTGTTCGAGCTTTCTGTGCGCGGTTTCATATCGATACGGCTTCCGGGCGTGAACGAGCCCAACCTTGTCTTGAGAGAAAAGCGTTACCTCTTCCATCGCCACGTTTCAGTTGATATTAACATCGATGGCATGTCACAACTCTCGCGAGTAACCCCGACGACATCAACAAGAGATTGTAGTGCGGAGCTTGGTTGCAGTGATTCGGACTGTTCATGGCATCGTCGAGCACGGGCCAGAACATCGATATCCAGAGAATTCCGCCGTGGGATGGCAGGGTGGAGACACTAGACGAGTATCAGGCCGAGGTTGAGTTGCTCACATTGGCTACGAAGGAGGACGACAGGAAGTTGCTTGGCCCACGTCTAGTGCAGGCTCTGCCCAAGAACACCGCGCAAAGGAAGCTGGCCCTCCGGCTTCCGCGGATCAAGGGCGAAGTCGACACCATCGTCGGCGAGAAGGGCCTTGAGAACCTGATCAGGGTGTTCCAGGAGAGCTTAGGCAAGCAGGCCTCGAGCGATGTGGTGGATATGGTGTTCATTTATTACTACGACCCGAGAACATCAGGACCGAGGATCAGGAATCTGGGACAGACGATCGGGCTCTACGCGGAGCAGGAGGAGGATGCCTACCAGGAGATGGAGAAGAGCGCTCGGGTGATATACCCGGACATGGACGCGATGGACCTGATCCCAGAGGAGCTGCGAGGCATCATCTTCTTCGTGAACGCCAACCTGGACCCGAGCGAGCGAGCCACGGTGGTGGCAGGACTACACGACTGGAAGATCGAGTCCGTTATCGACAGGTTGAAGTACGTGTGGTCGGACAAGGATCTAATGGCCATGGACAACTTAGTGTCAAGAATGAAGAAGATGCGGTTCCAGAACAACCGGGACATCAGGCGCGCCAAGGTGAATTACCAAGAGGACGACGAGGAGGAAGGTCACCTGGCCTACTTCGAAGACGATGAGTTCGAGCAGACGGAAGAGGCTGAGGCCCATTACGAGGAGGAGACCGCGAACGAGGATATCGAGTCGCTTGAGGCGCACGCCGAGGACGCCGAGGTCTACGCACAGGATGCAAACAGGACCTTCGCGGAGGCCAAGAAGATGTTGGCAGAAGAACAGGAATGGCTACTTCCCGGTGGCGGGCATCGGGCAGATCCCGGAGAATTGCAGCAAGGACCAGAGGGCCATAGTGGCAGCGAAGTCGGCGCTTCGTCCTCCCAAGCCCCCAGGGCCACAAGGCGGCGATCTTCGAGCAACCCCGCCCCCGCAGCAGTCGGCAGCAAGGCGCCCACCCAAGGGCAAGGGCAAGGTCATCAAGTGCTTGATCTGCCGGGGACCCCATCGAGCTGTCGACTGCCCAGGGCGAGGGAGCACTGGAACTGAAGGCAACAGCATGCAGATGGCTAGCCAGGGCTTCGTGGACGCAGTAGACGCTGAGGAGAACAACTACAGCAACGAAGGGAATGGCCAAGAAGCAGGACAAGCTGGCTGGGTACACGAGGAGATGGTGGGCTGCGCGATCATCGACACAGGAGCCTCCAAGAGCATGATCAGCATGGAGTAGGCACTCGCGATTGGACCAGGTCGAGATGGAGCACACCAGGAAGACGAAATTTACCTACGCAGGGGGCGAGAGGGGTCAATCCATCGGGAGGTTTGGTTTCGAGCACCCAGTTGCATTGGTAGAAGAAAAGAACCAGCTGTGGTTCAACCTGGTGGAGACGAAATTGCCGATGCCGCTGGGTCTGGATTACCTAGAGAAGGCTGGAGCAGACCTCATCATGGACAAGCCAGCGCTCGTATTCGCCGACGGGCACGAGGAGCCAGTGATCCACCTGCCCAGCTCTCACTACGCCCCCCCTGCATTGCGAGGGTGCCCAACCGGAGGAGCCGACAACGCCGTCGGCGCGGGAAGTGAGAGAAGTTGTCTTCAGGAAAGCAGAACGAGTCATCAGAAGTTCCGGGGAGGAAAACAGAAAATCAAGAGCCAGACGACCACGTAAACCACGCAAGCTATCTCAATACCATTGAAATTCTCTAGGAAGGTTCAGAGGAATCAGGATGGGATCACGCTCGAAAAGAAGATCGCGAAGACAAACACGAACAACCTCAACTACCAGAACTTCAGCGACCCTCCGAATGAGAAAGACCACGTCGAGAACCTCAGCGACCCCCCGAACACAACGGACATGTCAGGAACGTCCTCGACCCCCCGAACAGGACAGATAATATGGAGAACGATATTGGGGGCGAGAACGAGCTATAGGTCGGGATATCTCGGGCACGGATATGGCTGGGATTTCTCGATGTGAATATCCGTTTGCCGTCAATTTCAAAGTTACCCGAGAGGATCAAGCAGCAACGTGCCCTCCGCCTCCAGGGGCTGGGAGATATCACCGAGAGGGTAGAGATCTCGGACGAGGAGTTCGAGCCATGGGACCAGGTCCAGCCGCTCGCCGCGGAGAACTCTCATTGCTCGGGACAGCAGCTGCAGCCTATGCTGCAGCCAGTCGGGCGCCAGCGGACTACTACGACAATCTGAGGAGTCAGGCGATGGAGCTGCACGCAGGGGCGGACCCGGACACCATCGAGGAGCAGAGGGCGGCATCAGCACGACAAGGAGCACGAGACGGTCTACGGGCAGAAGCGGCGCGTCGAGCTCGGGCAGGCGCACTACCGCCGCCACGGCGCCACCTGCTCGAAGAGGTGGACGCAGCTTGGTCCAAGGACCACGGGAAGAGCCTCCAGGTGGAAGCGGAGATCAGGGATGCGCCACTTGTGACAAGGACGAGGAAGCGAGAGAGCAATCGGCCCGTCATGAAGGAGAAGCTCGCGAAGCCAACGGAGACACCAGCGGCCGAGGGACCAAGCACAGCATCAACATCGACAACTACGATATCTAGCACAGCCCCAGTCAGAAGCTGCCAACTGGACAGACCTTCAACGTCGAGGAGAAGAACCCGAAGGCGACGAAGACCATCAAATCGAACGGCCCCAAGAAGCATCCTGGAAAGGAGACAGGAGCCACGGGGATGAACAGATGGCAGCGAATCGCACTTCGGATTCAATCCCGGCGCCGATGACATTCTCACGGACAACGCACGAAGCACTCAAAGAGCGGGCGCCCCAAACGGTTCACGGCAGCGAAAGGGTTTGGGTCACCTCGGCCACTGGGGCTGGCGGGGGATCGCCCACGAGTGGTAAAGGACCCACCTCGGCGGGTCCGGCGCCGAGCCCTGCAGGCAGCCAGCAGCATCGACAACGACAAGCTACGCAAGCTCAAGACAGTGGCCAGGAGTCATCGGACCGACCTACTGGAGATCTGCGCACCCCCCGACAGCGGCCCCAGCACAGAAGTGGAGAACCTGGGCGGCGCCACTTCACGCATGGGACCGCTCAGCATTTTCGACTTCAGCAAGCAGAAGGCAGCCACCAAGGCAAAGGAGCAGATCTCGAAGAAAAGACCGAGATGGGCCCTTGCGCCACCACCATGCAAACCATTTTCGGCACTACAGGACGGACGGCCGAACACGGTGGAGCCCCAAGATCGACAGGTGAAGTTGAGGAAGTGGGGCCGCCAAGTGATGAGGAATGCCTTGAAGGAGCCGGGCGCCGTGATTTCTCTCGAACACCCACTCACCGCAAATTCATGGCGGAGCATTCCAGAGCTGTTCGACCTGTGGCAGCAGCTACACGAGCCCATCCCTTACGGTTGCGTCTGGGACATGAGGGACAACGTCACCGGAGAGCTCGTCAGGAAGGGATGGAGGACCATCACCACCAGCCAGAGAATCGCGGACCGGACACGCAGGAGATGCACCAGGGATCATCAGCACACCGTGATCGAGACAGGAACAGCAGACGTTGGCGACACAGC